TGATGAGAAAAATGCCATCATGCTGCCCCAGAGCAGGACATAGTCTTAACATTTGGAAAGCTGGTCAGAGACATTACTGTTGCATGAACTCATCAGACAACCTGGAGTTTCTGTTGGTACTTAAATATTATGGAGATCTGTTTCTGCTTATCAAAGAAAAACTGTAGGTCAGTCACAGATTATGACACTGGTTTTTTGAGTCATGTAAACATGTTCCAAGCAGCTGCTTGGCTACAATTAAGGGTGAGTCACATCAGTCTCACCTGACCACATAATGGCTCAGGTCACACCCTGACACAGTTTTATTTGTCATAAAAAAACTTGAAAACCACCTTAAATGAAACTGTTTGTTTACACAGTTTAGCTTAAGGCTGCAGAACACTGTTTCTTCAAGGTTTGCTAAAAACACTGCTCTTTTTTCCCTTGCAGTTGAGCTTACTTTTGAATTTAGTATGCAGCTTGAAGTGGATTAGTGCTTACTTGTGAAAATCGGAAGTACTGTTATTGCCATGGTATCAGTGAGTCAGTAGCACAGAGAAACTTAAAACAGTAGCATGGACTCTGCATTATTTATCATATTACTTTTAGTATTAGAAGATACCTGGATACAGTCAGATGAATCAATAAAAAATATTTTAATGTTAACATTATTGCATGTCTCTTATATAAAGGATTCTACTGCATACTGCAATAACTGTGTTCACATTTAACTAAATATGCTAATGACAGCTTCAGATAAGAAAATATTTTTAAATATGTGAGAAGATACTAAGATTAGACGCTTCTGACCATCTCAGCATTTTATTGAAAAATAAATTCTGTAGACATTTTGGAAATTTTGGCTGTGTTAAGTGAGTGGTTGATTATCTGATTCTAATTCAGGTCTACATGAAAGTCTTTGGAGGATTTTTATAAGCATATAGATAAATGAGTTTTGAATGTAAGCAACCAAATGAATAATGGAAGCCAATGTGCTTTTACTTTTTTGACACTGTTTGCATAACTTCACTGCCTTCCTCTATTAAAAATAATACAGAAAATACTGCGTTCATGCACAAATGTTGTTATTTTTTTGCTAACATGGGCAGTTTAAGGCCAATTTCTTCTAGATAACAGGGACTAAAGCAAATCTTCTGGTGATCATGTGACTTTTTGTAGTTGGAAATCTAGTTCCTGTGAATTGCACGTAATTTTTTGAGGTTTTGTGACTCATCAGTGGTTATCCCTTCTCACATCAAAGTTGATGTGAAATGAGTTTCTTGATAGCTTGGCCGATGATGTTTGTAGGTTTTGATGGATTCATATTATCTTTTACAGCTCCAGCTGTAGTAGCCCTCTTCCTATGTGATGAATAATTGCAGTAATTTTTAATACTTCTAGATTGGGCAATTCTTTCTTTCTTTTTCTTTCTTGTTTTCTATCAGTTGATCTATCTGTTGCAGAGCGCCCACAAAGTTAAGCTATCAAACCCAAGGAGATTTAAAGTCCATTCAATTTAAAGGTGAAATTGGAGTCTTCATCTTCCTTTTACAGAAATACCTTGTCTGGCCTTAGCAAAGGCTAAACTAAGGATTTTAAGATTGTTTGTCCTGCTTTTCTGAGTCCCTCATATGCCTCAGCATAAGTTGCCTTTGTTCTGAAGGCTGCTTGCTTCATATATGACAGCTGTAACAGATAGCCCAACACATTCCAGATTTTTTTTTTTTTTTGGCCAAGTTTAGGAAATTAAAAATTTGCCTTTATATTATGTTTCACTTCTCCTATGGCTTTTAAGATCAGTTCCATGGTGAGTATTTTGTGTTGTTGGTTGCAAGATTCAGACATACTCTTCTTTCTTGAGGCAGCAACACATGAGCTGGCTAGTGAGTATGGGTGTTTCTGTTGTTCATCTCTTTTAATTTGTGAGGGATTGTTTCACCTTTATGGCTGTGACTAAGTGTTACTAGAATACTGCTAGAATAACATTTCTAGTTATCTTTTCCTGATTGGTTGTGCTCTATGGAAGTTTTTCTTTAGAAACTTAATATGTAAAAAACATTCTTTTAGTTAACAAAATAACCTTTTTTTTTTTTTAATTCCACCTTACCTACTGACAACAGTGAAAAATACTAAGTTTTTGTTTTTCTTCTTATCTTGGTAGAAGCAAAGGTTTCTAGTAGATTTATTAGGTACTAAACATCCTGGCCTGGCTCAGCACTCCCTGTCTATTCCATAAGAGGGTTGTACTTGGTTCAGATGTGATCTTTATTCACAAACATACCTGCTTCACAGGTGGACACAAGCTTGTAAAGCTTCACTCATGTCTTGGTTTGAAAAGACAGGTGTCTGTTAAGGAAGGCAGGAGCTTCTCTTGAAATGCAAAATGTAAACCCCCTCCCTCTGAATTATTATAATTTTGAAATTAAGGAGCTCTTAGGCAAAGATACAGGAATAGGAATAACAGTTCTTTATTAGGAAAAATAAAAATAATTACGCAGTAATACAAAACAGCACTGACTGAGTCAGAATACAACTTGAGACCCTACGGGTCAGGGTGCTGGTAGCAGTCTGATTAAAGGTGGCTGCAGTACTCCCGAAGTGTCAGATGTATTTCTGTTGAAACAATGACTCTGTAGAAAGGGTGTAGGTTTTCTCTGAAGGTACAGTGGTGTTGTAGATGGGTCTTGTCTTTTTCTGGGAATCTAGTAGGAAAAGGCTGATCTTCTGGGATTCTAGTGGGAAAAAGCTGCCTGTGGTGTTCTAATAGCAGATTATATCCAGGTAGGAATGCTTGGCTCCTCCCCCTGTGTGGAACATCTCACAATGGAATGATGTAATTTTATCAGTCATGCTATGAGACTCAATAACCATTAACAGAAGATATCTCCCCAGAGGGAGGATTGGTTGTGGAAGAGATAAAGAAAACCATCCCACCTGGTTTTAACAGATAGCAATCAAAAACACATCTCCGGCCCCATCTTGCATTTGCAACCTAAGACAGCTCACTTGCAATCCTGAGCCATCAGCGGTTCCTCCATCTCTGGCCTAGGGATTTTTTCAGCTTTTTATGTCAAGGGTGTACTGAAAACTGCTCTGCTCTGCCAGTTAAGTGTCAGTCATTGCATATATTAGTCATAACATTGCAGTCATTATGTGTCTGTTTTGAATCTACGTATGGAGCATGTGCCAATTTTTGGACCCTCATCTCTACCATTCTGTTGTGGGCAGAATGGAAGCTTTGGACAGAGTTTATTAGAGAATCCCTCCCACTGAAGTTACAAGGTATAGAACTTGTTATCTAAACCCCTTACATGTTAAACCCCTTCTCAGAGAGGAGTCAAAGTATGATCTGATCTAATCTTTGCCCCTGACTTGGTCAACAGTTTATGTTTAAAGGATTGTGCATTGTGTAATTGAAAATTTATGCAACTTTGTCCACAAGATTAAGGATGGCAAACCAAATATACTTAAGTTATTAAAGTAAATTATTTATTGATGATCTTAATGATAATAATTACACTAAAAGATCATTTTTATTTAATACACGGTACAGTTATAAATTCCAGTATAGTGCACTGTTTACTGAAGCTGTATTGAAGAAACAATATTAAAGCTAGCCAAATACTTGAAAAGAAATTGATAGTACTTACCCATACCAGTGACCATGGGCAAGTCTCTTTTACTCAGCCTTAAGGAGTAACTTATAAGGGGATCCCCATTCAAGGAAGGAAGCTACACACACTCCATCCAAGAAGGAATGTGTCAGAATTCTCTGCCATTAAAAAGGGGGCCACGCCTTTTGCACTATAAAGGTGATTGACAGTGAGATGTATCAGCTCAGCAGCTTTACTTAAATTACCAGTACTGTCACTTGTTGGTTCCATTATAAGGAGCTCTGTCTGCTGCATCCTCACCGGTGTCAATTTCTGTTGAGAAAGACTGTTCTTTGTAGAATAGAGTGTTTAACTTGGGGATTGATGAGTCAGGCTGGTCTCAGCATTCTTCAACACCAAAAGCAGGGTGAACCCCGCTTCTCCGTCAGCACTGATAAATTCTGCAAATAGAGGCAAGTTTGAGCTGCTTTACCTCCACTTAGGCAGAGCATCCTGATGTCCCCATAAGCAGATATCATGACTTCACTTTTCAGCTGATATAAAAGCAAGCATTCTTCCTCAGTTATTTACTGGGGGCTGGGAGTATACAACTGTTCATCTGCCATAGTTCACTTGATACATGGTAGTTCATTAAACCCTCATATTTGGTCCTGGGTGTCTTAACCTGTGTAATAGTTTAAACAATTATTTGCTGAAAAGATGATCAATGTTTCAAAGTGTTGATGAGTTAGTAAGAGATTTTGAGTTTGGCTAAAAGCCTGACTGGACCCTGAGCTGCAGTAGTTTAATTTACATTATGTTTTAAGCTGATTTAGTTCAAATTGGTACAAAAGACTGGGTGTGTTCTCATATCGAGTCAATTAGGATAGCTTTAGTTAAACTTCAGTTAATTAGGAGGAAGTTTATGTTAAACTGAATATATTACTCTTATGGTGAAATAAGAATCTACAAGAAAACATGGCCATTCCTGAGCCAAGCTAATTTGTAAGACATAACATTATCTGATCACAAATGTTTCATGTATTTAAGTTTGTTTTTATGAAAACAAACTGCCACAGTTCTTTTTAAAAATGTCTTAATTCCAAAATTTTGTGAAGATAATCAAGTGCGGTATGCCTTCAAATTTTCATTTATCTTTCCTTCGTCTCTGTGTGTCTTTGTGTGTAGAAGTAATTAAGCTCTAGTTCTGTAGTATTTGTGTGTTACATTATAACCACAGTGTTAACTCCATCCTAAAAGCTTTACTCTAACTGCATTCTAGAGCATGCGAAATTACCCTGGCAGGACTGACACTGTTTGCCCTCTGCTTTATGATGTACGGTTTGTGCAATCTATACTGCTGCTAGATAAAATTCCATTTGAGCAAGGAGTGTTGGGTTTTGTCTCTACGTTTTTCTGTCGATGCAGGAAGAATATTCTTCAGTTCTTGGATGCTGAAAGAGATGTCTCAGTGGTCAAAAGCAGCTTCAAGCCTGGAGATGTAATTCATTATGTACTGGATAGACGTCGCACTCTAAATATTTCTCAAAATTTGCACAGCCTTCTCCCGGAAGTTTCCCCAATGAAAAATCGCCGATTTAAAACCTGTGCAGTTGTTGGGAATTCTGGTGTCCTTCTGAAGAGTGGTTGTGGAAAAGAGATTGACAGCCATGACTTTGTAATAAGGTAAGTTTTTATCTGCTGTTGAAGATGCAGGGTACTATGTTTCTTGCAGAAAAGCTGGGAGAAATGTTTTAATCTGACGTACATATTACAGGCATTATCTAAATTAATCTGAAACATTATCCACCAACATGTGATTCCCCGAATCTAAATTCATGCTTGTATTATTGATAAGAAGATTATTGTGAAAATAAAACAAGGGAGAGAGGTTTGCATTACTTAATTTTGCTTTTTGCTGTGCTTATTCCAGACAAAATTACTCTTACAGAAGCCTTGGTTGAAGAAATGCAAAATGGTTTCTTTTTAAGAATACTCTTTTTTTAGCTTTTGGTCAGCATAGATGGCCTTTTGTAAATTACTACATTACTTTTGTGTAGCATGTAGTGAAATTTCAGTGTGGTATATTGATGTTAAATGAGGATGCCCCTGAGGTAGTTGGAAGTCACCCTAATATATTCCTTCACATTGGTTTAAAAATCTATTCTTGCAGTTTGGGGGAAAATTATATGTTTCTCTTTTTATTCGTTCTTCAAACACACACAGTAGAGGGGCCTTTGGATTTCATGTATCATGTCAAAGCTGAGCTCATTTGACATCTTGGCATTATGTAGAAAATGCTGAGCAAGAGATGGGTACTTCTGCTTTGAAGCAGAAGTAGAACTTGAAGCAGAAGTCTCAGTTGATTTGGTTTGAGAAGGCTGAAAGGACAGAAAACAGGAGGATTGTGACAGAAAGCAATATAGAAATATTAGTCATTACAAGTTATTTGCCTTTTCCTTTTTTCACCTTAAAGAATGATGAGGACAATAAATAATAAAAGGATGTGGAAAAGAAAAATAAGGGTTTTGCAATACATAAATAAAAGAATATACATGAGTTTCATATTTCATTTGAAAGTTATTTTAACAAGTTGCAACTGAAGTAATAACACACTTCTCTTTCATTTTCCTTATTAGTCATACTTGTACCACTAGTTATTGAAATTAGCATCCTTACTTACTGCAGAGGAAATCTAAAATTAATTACCACAGTTTTAAACTGCATGTAGCCTATGGCATGCTTTTGTATTCTCTCTGAGATTAAATGTGATTCATTTAACAGGATGTCTTGGTTTTGGACAAATTTAGGAAGAAGTGTTCTGAAGGGAAATGTTCTGTATCCTTTACTGAAGAGTAGGTTTTACCAACTTTTTTTTAATGGGTTCTTACAGGTTTGAAAGGATTTTTCTTGGAGAAAGTGAAAAAATTGTTTATTTAACAAGCAAGTTGTTTACAGGTATGAAAGGAACAAATAACGTTAAATAATAAAACTTTTTGCTGCTTTGAAGAGATTCAGAATTTTTTCTGTAGTGTGGCTCAGTCTTTTTCTGAGTCTGGAGCTGGTCTCTGGACTGCCATGCAATGTGGGGGGGCCTCTGGACAATGTTTTGGGTTTTGGATTGGAGAAAAGTTGCATAGTTCTAGAAGACAAAGCTACTGTTCAGGAAAATCTTCTGCTTCAATTAACAAATGAAAAGCTAACTTAAAAAGCAAAGAAATTACTCTGTCTGTTTTCCTCTAGAGAGAAAAAGCCACGGGTTGGGAGAAACCAAGAGTCTTATATCTGTGTTTTTAAACATGGGTGGCAAAAAAAATGTTATCGGTTCTCTTTCCTCTTTATCTCTCTCCGGGTTTAGCTTAAAGCTATAGGACCCATTTTTGGGCACAAAGCAGGCAAACAAATCACACCAGGACAGAGGACTACAGAAAAAATTAGATGCTAAATTTTCTAAATTAAAATTTTCATAGAGAAGACAAGGTGCATACTTTATTTTAAATCATGTGCTGAATTTCTTTGCAGTCGTCCCCATGCTCTTCTGCACATTTTAACTAGCCATGAAACTAGGTGATGATATCTTATAGGAGGTTTTAACTAATTCAATTACACGGAGGAAGGGTAATATTCTAGAGACTTGGTGGAGCTTAATAAGATCAGTAGGAAGTTACTGTTGCTAATCAGGAGTTTAGACTGGCGAGAGATGTGCATGTTCTGTGAAGATGATGAGGAAATTGAACAGGTTGCCCAGGGAAGCTGTGCATGTCCCATCCCTGGAAGTGTTCAGGGCCATGTTGTATGGGGCTCTGAGCAACCTGGTGGTCTAGTGAAAGTTCTTCCTGACCATGGTGGAGGATTTAGAATTAGATAATCTTTAAGGCCCCCTTTCAACCTAAACCATTCTATGATTCCATGAAACATCTCTCATATGGTATATGACAACAAAGTGGTCTGTATAACAGCTAGTGAGTCTGACAATATTCTGATTAATAATCTCTAATGTTTTGAGAATAACATGCTTGGTCCTCCTGCCTATAGGGAGTTTAAATGCAGTGATTTTTTTTTTAATTTACAAATGAAAGTTAAGATATTTTAGAATTTACATATTATAATTTAAACTATATTATATTTATTTATTTATGTCTCAATGCATGTATAGTTATATAGCATCTGTTTAAGTAGCAAGGAATTTGTTTTTAACGGAAGTTTAAGAAAAAAACAAATCAGTCATCAGAGTTAGTTTCCTACATTCCTCATCTTCCCTTTAGAAAAATTGTACATCACTTGATATGTAATCACATGGTGTAATTATGAAATTCTGGAGTGCTTCATAAACCCTTACCAGTATTGCTGTTAGGATTCTGGTGTTAAAATGTACCATGACGCTCTGTTATTCGTTTTACTTTTATCTGAACTCTCTAGCAGTAAAATGTCCTCGCTTATGTGTTGCCTGATGGTATACTTGAAAGGACTTTCTGAATGGATCCAAATGTATAGGCTGGTGAAGGACAGTTTTGTAGAATCTTCTGATACTAAGTACATTATGTCTATGTGCTGTGTCAAGTATGTCATACTATTCTGGTTAAATATATTCCATTGGTTTTGATTGTATTTTATTGGGGAGGGAGGGGAAGGGGGGTGAAATCTGAAGGAAAATTTTTTCTCTGAGAGTTGTTCCTTAGAGGAGCAGTTCTTAGGTTAGAGTTAACACCAACATTACCATTAATTTAATGATCAAACTGACAGTGAAAGTCTGTGACAATGAAGAAGACACAACAGATATCCAGCAATATTTGCAGTATTGATTAACTCAATACTGGAAAACTCAGGATCCTATAAAGGGAGTGAAAGTGTTAATAGTAATGGACAAACACACAGAAATTTCACAAGTTTAGTGAAGTCATGCCTATTTTGGCAGTAGAAAATGCGGTCCATCTAATTAAAATGGGAAGAAAGGAGACTCTTTGTTTGTAAAAAAATCCCAAACTGTGATGACTGTGAACTGTTTTCTGATTCCCATATACCTTTCCTTTTTATCTCTCATGTTTTTATACCTCATAGGGAACTATTGATCTGTGTGTCCCTGCTATTCTCTTCTAGTGCCGAGCTTCAGTGTGCTGCATTTTGATCTATACCCAGACAGAGTCTGAAGCACTCCAAAATATCTCATTACACGAATAAGTACATCTTGTTCCCATATTTATGCACTTTCTCATGCTGAAATTACCAAGCCAGGGGTGAGTTAACTGTTGCATCTTACAGAGCAGATGAACTTCTTGTAATAAGTGGTATATTTTGAAATGCAGTGGTTATGTAGGAGTTTCTGAGAAATGCAGCTGTATTTTGGGCAAGTGGAAAATAACAATGTTAAGCATTGCCAAGTAATAACTTGGAATTACTTCTGGAAACCAATATGTACCAAACACTTCAGCTTTGGGTTCAGAATTTGAACAATATCAAAAATCAGAGTAAGTAGTTATATTTTTTTGTTTTTTAAAATTATTTAATTGCACGTTAGTGATAAGACCTACAAAAAGCAGAGGCCAAGTTCAGTTTTGGAGTAATTTGGTTAAAACCAACCAGTCAAACAAACCCTAGTAAATATATTGTGTTTTTTTCTTGTGGTAACCCCACTTCTAGAAAAGTCCCTTTCATTTCAGTTGGACAGTATGGAGAAGAGGCCTGTTGAGTGAAACTTTTTCAGTAGGTTAGGGCTGCTCTGACAAGGAACAGCCATGAGAAGATATTAGTTCCTTCTTTCTTTGGATTGAAGTGCCTAGTTTATATGTTACAACTCTTCTTTTCTCACCGGAGTTTTTCCTGGTGACTCTGCCAGCATTTAGGAACCAAATAGATGTTTTTGCCATCACTGGTGATAAAATTTTGCTGGGCAAATGCAGCTCTATTTTTCCAGCATACTTTGACTTTTGTTTTTTAACTTTACCATCCATGTGGTTAGTGAAGTTGACACGAAAAAGCTTGAAAAGCTTATAGTCCTTTTTTTTTTCTTTTTGAGAGGAAAGAATACATACTTTAACAGATGTCTTGGTTTGCCCTGTACATAGGTGAGGATAATCTTATTTTACTTTCTCCCTAGCACATTGATTTTTGTGGGCAATAGGTGAATATTTCTGTGATACGCAGAAGCAAGCATCGTATATGGTACAAGCAAAAGACAGCACATATGGTCTGGCAGAAGAAAAGGACAGACCTAATCATAGTGAGGTGGTGTGGTATCTTATTTCAGGAGAACAATTTAAATTAATAATAAGAAATTAGTAGTAGCTACATTTATGTGTGTTGTTCCTTCAGGCCCTAGGAAAAAAGCATCATAAATTTGTCAGAATAAATGTATTGAGAATATTAATTTGCCTATATCCTGGAACTTGGTTTTTGTAATTCATATCAGCTTTTATCTTCAATTTTTTTTAGTACACCTTGCTTGGACCATGGCCATCATGCCAAGTAGAGCTAAATCCTTGGAGCCTGCAGATCTGTTGAAAGCAAGTTGCCAATTTAACACATATATTTTAAAGCATGAGTATTCCTCTAAAAATAACATGAATACATTATGACTAGATCATTAGACCTTTTTCAGAATTCAAATGTGGCAGCTCTATTTTTGCCTTCTGTTTCTTCCTTAAACTTGTCACACTACATTGAAAACTTAAATTAAAGCAGAGGAAAGC